CCTAGTCTTTTGAGGAATCTCCACACTGTTTTCCACAGTGGCCGCACCAAACTGCATTCCCACCAGCAGTGTAGGAGGGCTCCCTTTTCTCCGCAGCCTCTCCAGCATTTGTCATTTGCATAAGTACACCTATTTTTAATGTTGACTAGTGTGTATTCTCTTATATACCTTCCTCCTCTTCTCAAGTAAGAATTACAAGCATTTTCCAATGACATTAAATATTCTTCTCCAGTGTACATTTTCAAGTACTACACGAGTTTCTGTCATGTGAATGTACCAGGATTTAAACTTTATTTTGTCCGATTGTGAAGATCATTTTTCTAACAATAAAAATGCTGGCAGTGACAATCAGGCTTAAATCTTTGCACATTTTTATACCTGCTTTGGATTAACTATTTATAAATGGAATAGTTGAGCCAAAGGAAACTAAGGATTTTATGGCTCAAGAAATGTATTTTGGAACTCCAGAACAGCTGTGTGTTTTTCTCCTTTGTTGTGCCAGAGATCTGGGTCACAATTTTGGTGACTGCTCCCAACTTGACTGGGGAGACTGGCACTTTGTTTTGAATTTGCACTGCTTTTGTTTTCATATCTTGGGGACAGAGAATCTGGTGTTTCCAAAACATGCCTCACCATAAGAGTGACCTGCTGAAAGAGAATGTTCCAGGGAGGGGCCTGTACTTAATAAGCAATGTGGCAAGTGTGGGAAATGCAGAAGTTGTCCAACACGACCATCTGGCAAATGGAGAAACTGAGGCCAGAGAGGTGCCCAGGTCTCTGGGGGTGGGGGAGATCCCCATCCTGGTATCCTCTCAGGGCCACCTCCCCTGAGTTACTCATCTGTGACAGCAATTATCTAATGGCTTCTTCCTTGTTCTCTCTTTTTTTTAGGAACAAAAAAAGCCCAGTCCAAAATCTGAAAACTGACCATGAAGCTCCGGGAAGAGGACCCAGCAGATAACAAAGAAAGCGATTTGGCAACAAAGAAATTGGTCAGTCCTGGTTTCCTAATCTCTCTCTTGTTGTGAGTGTTCCGGTGGTCCCAGGCTGGCCCCTCCGACCTCCTGCTCCTGCCAGGGGAAGTGGTGCCGGTGAGCTCAGGCGCAGAAGGGTGAACAGAGGCCGGTGGGGGGGGGGGATACTGTCTGCTGTGACCATCTGGACTTCGGGGGGGGTCTCCATTCCAGAGATCGTTTCTCAGCAAGGGGGCATTGATGTTGAAGGTGATAATGTCATAGTCCTTAAGGAAACATTGAAACCCATCCCCCATCGCACCACAACGCCCAGTCCACCTGCCTCCTCCTCCAGGAAGTCCTCCACACTTAGAAAGTCTCCTTCCTCAGGACTCCTTGGCCTCTCTCTTTAAATCAGATTCAAAACCAACCGCCAGAGAGCACCTGTTCTGTACCAGACCTTACACGGGTCTCCCCTTCAGTTCTGGCCACACAGCAGTGAGGGCATTGCTATCCCCATTTTGTAGGCAAGGAACTGAGGCTCAGAGAAGGCCAAAGCCATGTGTCCAAGGCTCGTGTGCAGTGCAGGCAGTCTTGAATGTTGGCCCATCTGTACCTCACCTCCTGTGATGAGTGGGGAGGCCACCAGGCTAAGAAGAATATATGCCCATGTTTGTAATTAACCTGTATTTAGCAGGTCAAAGGTCAACACGAGTGTATTTACCAGATTCTGGCAAGTGTGAAGTGGCAGGTGGGGCATCACCACTGCATCTCCCAGGTGTGATCTGGAGGTCCAGGTTGGCCAAGCCACCTGCCTCAGGTCTCCTGGGATATGGCAGAAACCAGGCTAAACAGAGAGCGATTCCCTCCAAGTGGACACAGTACCTTTTTCTTGGCGCCCCATTAGGTTGAGTCAAGGCTCCCGTCTACGCCTTTAGTGTGAAGGAGGAAGCGGTGTGGTCATCACAAACCTTCTGCTCAAATGATATTCAGTGGGAAATTCTTTATTTTCCCCCTACCTTTTCCTGGTAGGAAATTTTCACCTTGTCCAAGCCAGTGTTGCAGTATCAGGACATCATCCAAGGGAGAGTCTGAGTTCAGTTCCAGAAGCACCTACCGGGCCCCTTCCCTGACCCGCTGGGAATTCAAAAAGCTTTATAGGACACCGAGATTTTTTAGGGCTTCCATGACAAAGCCCCACAGACTGGGGGACTTAAACAACGGAGCTGTATCTCTTCACAGTCTGGAGACTAGAAGTCCAAGATCAAGGTGTCAGCAGAGTTGGCCCCTTCTGAGGCCTCTCTCCTCGGCCTGCCGATGGCCGTCTTCTCCCTGTGTCCTCACGTGGTCGTCCCTGTGTGTGTGTCTGTGTCCTGATCTCGTCTTCCTATAAGGACATCAGTCAGATTGGATCAGGGCCCTCTCACACGACCTCATTTTACCTTGGTGACCTCTTTAAAGGCCCTGTCTCCAAATACAGTCACCTTCTGTGATACCAAGGTTGGGACTTCACCATATGAATGTTGGGGGACACAGTTTACCCCCTAACATGCACACACAAGTCCCTGCCCTCAGTGAGCTCCTGTCCAGAGGGGAAGGCATACATGGGGACAGACCCCTGGGAGAAAGGCGGTCACAGCCAGCACAGGTCTGAGCAGCACGTGCAACACAGGGGCGGCAGAGAGAAGCCCAGGGAGGCTTCTCGGGGGAGGTGGCGAGGGCACTGAGCACTGAAGGACGAGCGAAGTTACGGGTGGTCAGGGGAAGAGCCCGGGCCAGGCCAGGAGAGCCGGCGAGAGGAGACGCTTAGCAAACACTGGCAGACGTGTGTGCGTGGGGGGGTGGCTGTCAGAACAGGCCCCAGCACACCCAGGAATGCGTGTTTTATGACCACGTCCTTGCTAGAACTAACTTTCAGAATCTGTCTGAGAGCCTGGGCCACAGCCCGAGTGGGTAGGGAGCTGGCACTGGATTTGGAGGTGAATCCAGGCTCCCCCTGAACTTCTGTTCTTCCCCCGAAACGGCAGCCTCACGGCTCCTCCTGAGACTGCTGGGAGGGTCGGTGACATCGCGGGTGTGCACACACCTGGCTGAGGGCCGAGCAGTGCGGACGTGTGCCGGGGGAGGGGGGTCGGGGAACCGCACCGAGTCACGGTCCGTCATGGGAGGACGGAACTCGCGTCTGGGGACGGGCCTCAGTGGTTGTCCACTGACACCGAGCTGCTCCAGCCCTCTCCTTTTCTGCTGTGGACACCGATGCCCCCGGAGGGAGGAGGCAATTCTTGTACCCAGAGCACTCACCGTGCCATTGGTTTAAAAAACGATGAGGGCTTCTGGGTTGAGAAATAGCTCATTGTCTGGGGACAAGGTGGTTTGGAGAGTAATGATGAGAATTCACCGTGCGCTCGCTGGATGCCGGGTGCTGGCTTAGGTTCCACAGTTCCCGTGTTTTCTGTGTGTGAACTCACCAAGTCTTCCCAAGTCTGTGAGGTGCTGGCACCATCATCACCCCATTCTACAGATAAGGCCGAGTAACTTGCCCCAGAGCTCACAGGCTGTAAAAGTGGCTGGGCCGAGACCCAAACCCAGGCTGTCCAGCCCCAGTGTCTCGGTTTTAACCCACTGTGCTGTGGCAAAGTGGTGGGACAGCTCCCATCACCCTCACCAAGGCTTCTCACCCGGGAAGCCCTGGGGATGCCAGTGGGAACCTGAGATCCCTCATCTCCCTGAAGGAAGAACGCACGGTTAACCCGACGGCCCGGAGCTTCAGCGGGGACACCTGGGCTCTAGTCTCAGGGGTGTGACTTCAGGCCAAGGTGCTGCTCACCTCTGGGCTGGTTGCTGGCAGGCTCCGGGGAGGATCAGCAGGCAGCCAGCTCCACCAGGAGGAGGAGCTCTCCAGGCCAAGCCGCGCCCTCAGGCTGCAGGACGAAAAGGGAAAGTGACACCATGCAAGTTTCTCCTGCTCTGCTGACTTGTGTCCAGTCCCGGGTTCTGGGAGAGCCCCTGGCGCAGGGCAGGGCCAAGGAAGCTGCTGGCAGTTTGTCCCCACCCCCCACCCCTGGCCTCTAGTCCACACACCACTCCCCACAACCACCCCCTGCCCCCAGCCCGGGCTTCTGCCCTCAGGGCTCAAATTCAGCAGGACTTGGGGCTGGAAAGTGGAGACGGGAGGAATGGTCACGGACAGCTGGGAGAGGGCCTCCAGTCCACACTTTGTGTCCACTGCGTGGCCCATGGACGTGCTGGGCTGGCTGGCAGGACCTTTAGTGCCTTCGGACTTTAGGAACTCCTGCAACACCAGGGACACCAGGGACACTCCTGGCTGTAGCTGCACATTTGTGTCCTGCCTGGGTCCTGGCGTCTTTGAGTTTTCAACCCCAATGGGGAACATGGAACAATTTTAAATGAAACAGATGGGTCACCTGATCCAATGTGAGTTTTAGTAAGATCAGGGAGACACCCTCCCCCCCATTACAGATGAGGAGACCAGGGAGGTTACATAGAAGGGCCTGAGTCAGGGAGGGGGGGAGGAGGAAACAAGATGCTTAGTGTGAAGTTCCGGCAGGACGGCACAGGGTGCAGCCATCCTTCCCCTCCGTCGCCCCTTCTAAATTTAGACCGCAACCCGCTCAGTTATTTTGCTTTCCCACATGCCCTGGGGCGTCCATGCCTGCAGCCCTGGCTCAGGGCCCTCTCATCCCACGCCCTTCCTTGCCTGCATGTTCCCATGGCTTACTCATCCCCTAAGAGACGGCTCAGGAATCACCTCTTCCAGAAAGTCTTCTGGGATCCGCTCCCGGCTGGCCCAGTGCGTGTCACAGTTTAATCGAGAGCTCCCACGTTAGAGTTCCGCTCTGGACCAGGCTCTATGAGGGGAGCTGGCCAACTGGCTGAAAATTGTTTCCAGGAGCAGCCAATTCTCCAAGCGGCATCCCGGCATCCCTGCGTGATAAATACGCAGCGTGAGTATTGCCCTGAATGATTCATGTGCTCGGTAAATAACCAGCCTAATTATTCAGGGTTGGCTTTTCCTCTGGGAAGTTTTGGTTCCCTGTGGAGCAGTGGCTTTCCAACATCATGGGGCTGGATGTTTGCACAGGCATGTGATCATCCACGCTCCCAGAAGTTCTGCAGCGATCCACAGTTTTTATTTCAACATGCGTTTTCCATTAAACCCAGGTGGCTGACTTCTCATCTCTGTTTTGTGGACTTGAGGCCACTGTGGCCTTCCAGGGGTTCTGCAGTTCCCAAGCACGCCTTTGCTTCCCTGGCCTCTGCACCTGCTCTCTGCCTCCGGGGGCAAGCGGCCAAGGCAACCTGTCCTAGACATGATTCGAGGCACTTCTCTGACATCCGGGCAATCCAGCCATGCAGTGAGTTAATTCTCACGACATCCTGGTGTGCAGGAGGGGGTCTTGGCTCCTTAATGCTACCCCTGAGCCAACCTCCGGGGCAGGCACGTCAGAAGTGTTCCCTCAGCCGCCGAATGAGCAGGGCAGAGTAATTTTCAGCGACAGGTGCTTTTTCTTCCAAACCCACCACCTTCCCGCTTGTTCAGAGCCGCAGGGCAGCCCATGCCCACCTCCAGCAGGCTGTTTGGGACTGTGTGTTTTCTATCTGAGCCTCAGAATTGCTCTGCAGGATGATCAGAGCAGGATCAACCTTCCATTCTGTGCTTGTAACCGTGGTAGCTTGGAGAAGCAAAGCTACTTGCCTAAGGACACACAGTGAGAAAGCGCTGGAGTCCGGGCTGGAAGCCCCAGGCTTCTCCTGCAGCCGGTCACTTTTCCATCTGTCCCAGTCCTTAGGGAGACTTGTCCTGGGTTCATGACAGTGGCTCCCCTCCCAGCACACTGGCCTTAAGAGGGAAAAGGAAGACTTCATACTCAGGGTGGTGATTCCTGAGAAGACGAGTCTCCCTCTTAGGCTCTCCAGTTGCTGGGATGACTTGGGAACAGGGTAAAAATTTACTGCCCACTTCCCATTCAGGCAAGATTAAATTGCCACATTTCCTGTCCGGGAGCTCAGACTCTGCCTCCTCATTCAGGGAGATGCTCCAGCGGAGCCCGGCAGAGGTGCCGCGGGCTGAGCCGGCTGCAGGGAGGGTCGTCAAGCTGATCGTTGGGAAACAGGACATGGACTCCCGGGAACTGAGCTTAGCTCCTCTTATGTGTGGCCTGAGCCTCCCAGGGCCTCCTGAGTGTGCCCACCCGAGCAGCCGCCGGACACCGGGCAGGAGGAGAAGAAAGGTAAACACAGAAATCGGCCCCTGTACTTGCCACAAGGGCTGTCTCTGCCCCCTCTGAAAGTCCTAGGGCCTGAGTCCTGGCGTCCTAGTCCATTGACCATGGCTGTAGGGCTCCAATTCTTGAGCTGCAGATTCCTGGGGCCGACAGCATCTTCTGGCAGCAGCTGTGCTCGTGTGGTGAGGCCACGGCAGAGAGCCGCCCTCTCGTGCTGGGTGCTGTCCTCCCCTCCCTCCTGCCCCCACCAGCGGGCACCTGCTGCTCTTGGGGCGGGTATGAGAGGTGGTGGGCCTAGGTGGGCCATTCAGGGGTAGGGGCTCCAGGGGAGACGGCTTCCACCCACTCTGCTCTCTGATGGGTGCAGACAAGGGAATAATGACCAAGGCTGGGAGTGAGGGAAACCCAGGGGACCAGCACAGCCCAGGGGGTCAGAAGGAGTGAGATCTGAACTGAGGCCCAGAGGATGAGTTTAAAGACAAAAGGCGATGGAGAACGGGCATTTTGTCCAAAATGATTCTGTTCTGTCAAGGAATCTCACTCAGTTCAAGCTCCTCTTACTGCAGAAAAGTATCCTGGCCCCACACCTGCCAGTGTCCATCTCCGTGGCCCGTCAGCCCTCCCACTGGCCTATCATCCGATCACCAGCATTTTCCGAGCGCCTCTTCTATGGCCGGCACGGTGCCTGGAAGCAAGGCTCCCGCCCTCAAAAATAAGACCTGCACCCTCTGCCCCACCCCTGCTGCTGCCCCTCACCGGCCCCGGCCCCTGGACGGGTGAGGGGCTCCCCTGCTCTAACTCCTTTCTTCTGCAGAATATCCCATGAGGTGGGTCCCTTATCACCCCCATTCCACAGATGAGGACACTGAGTCACAGAGCAACTATGTAACTGGTCTAAGTTTGCACAGACACGAGTGGCCGAGTTGGGAGTCAGACGGTGTTGAATCAAAGAGAGAAACGTGGAAATGAGGAGGTGAAGCTTCCAGGGAGGCTTTCAATCAGTCTGACACATGAAAGTCTCCAGAAGGGAGACGTTCAGGGGGATGCAGCCACACTGGCCAGGGCAAGAGAGACCTTAGCGTGTAACTCAGGCGCTGGCCATTCTGCGTGGCTGGGCTAGAGGGAGTGGAGAGAGAAGACAGAATAAGTAAACACCCTATCTGAACACTGGCTACACGCATGCGCCCCCCTCCACGGCCTTGGCCAGCAGCACATCCACCACCGCCTATGCAGCTGGTGCTACAGTTTAGGTCCCATTTTATAGTTGGGTAAACTGAGGCCTAGAAAGGTCAAGACCCTGGACAGGCTCCCCAGCCGAGCGGTGGAGCCTTCTGGTGCTGGAGCCTGAGCTAGAGGCGGTGCCGAGGCAGGGAGAGCAGGGAACTGGCTTCCAAACAGCATTTGATCTATTCAGTTCCCTAAACTGTGGACCTCATCTGTCATGTCTATTGCTGTGTCCCTGGAGCTGTGTCAGGGCCTGGAACTTAGAACACGAACACACACACACACACACACACACACACACACACACACACACACACACACACAACACACACACACACACACACACACACACACACACACACACACACACACACACAATAAATGATGGCAGAGAAAGTAACTTCCAAGAGCACCTGGGCCCCTCCATCTGGTGAATCTCCTCTTTCCTGGCCAGCCCAGGATGGCAGCCCCTCCTGCCTCCAGCTCCTGCCTTCCGACCAGCCTTTGCCAAGGGGCCCAGATGTTTCTTCTCTGGTCCTAGTGCAGCTACAGCCATGCGTGGATGGGGCCATAGGGCAGGATCACATGGAGGCAGATGCCTGGTTCTCCAGGCCAAGCCCTACATCTCTGTCTGCAGGTCCTTATTCCAAGGTGCTCCCATTGGCCGGTAGATGGACAGCCCAGCCTGCAGCGGGGCCTGCATGAGCTTGCGTGCATCTGTGTAGCCTCAGGCCCCCAGACACCACTCCCAGGAGAAGAGGCAGTGTGGTGCAGTGATGACTGCACGAGGGCTGGAGCCAGGCCATCTGGGCTCCAGTCTCCATCCCAGACAGCACCAGGGACAGCTCCTCACCTCTGTTTCCTCACCTGTAAAAGCAAGCTAAAAAGTACTGATCTGAGGATTCTAGAAGAGAAAATCCAGAAAGTGCTTAGAACAGATGACGAGACCATAGCTCTTAATAAGAAGCAGCTGCGGCTGCTGGCAACTTAGTCTGGCTTTGCTCTTTTGCTCCTCTGTGGGTCAGAGACAGGCCAGATTCAGCTAAAATAGCAGCGTGTAGCTGCTGTCAGAGCACCTGCAAGGATGGTAGGTCGACATTTCCCAGATCTAAATGCAGCAGGGCAAGGAGGGCAGTGTTGTGGCTGCCAACAGAGGCAACCTGAGCTCCGTGGGTTGACCACACTCAACGGGTCCAGACCTGGACGGGAAACCCTCCTGCTAGCTGGCTCCGAAAGACTTGCCATCCTTGCCCTGGGAATCCTCTGAGTTGGACTCCCTAGCTAAGGGGACAGCCCAGGTGCCTCCCGTGGGTCCCTGGCTCTGCGCCAGAGTGTCAGGTATGACGTACTTTGCTCTCCTTTCCAGGATTGGCCCTGCTTGCTCATCGTGGCCTCTCTCGTGGGCGCCTTCGGCTCCTCCTTCCTCTGTGGGTACAATCTCTCCGTGGTCAACGTGCCAACTCCGGTGAGTGTCCTGCAGCGGCGGGATGCACCCGGCAGAGGGCGCTGCGGCAACGCGGAAAACCAGGTGTTACCACCTAGCCCTGGATGGTACCCCATTCTGCAAACATCTGCAGGCCAGGTCTATGCCAGACCCCTGATGGACACTGGGGTGAGGTGAGGGACAGAGAGCGTGAGAACAGCCCCGCCTTGGAGGGGTAGGTGAGAGATACAGAAACAGAGGGTGATGACAACGCTTGGGGTCAGTTTCTTGCTCCTAGAGTGTCCTGGGAGAGTGTAGAGAGGGGTCTTCAGAGATTCCCAAGGAGTGGATGCTAAAGGTCTTATTCCAGGGCAAGGACCATGCAATCTGAGTAACCACGAAGGGATCCAGACACAGAAACATTTTCCTGATCTTTCTTTTGTGTTTATGGCTTTAAATCACAGCTAGAGGCCACATGGATATCTGTTGGTTAAGATCCATCACTAATTTTTGTTTTCATCTGGAATAAGGTCATTAGGAGCAATTTCTCAGGCCCTCCTAATACCATTCTGCTAGCTTGCAGTTGGAGGTTTGGTTCCCGCCCACGTAGACTATTAGGTTTAGGTGCTGCCCATTGCTGGGTGTGCTGGCTTCCACTTCAATAGCCTCCACCTTGGGGTAAGGTGGATGGGTCAATGGGGGGTATGAGGGAAGACTTCCTGGAGGAGGTGATGCCTGAGTTGCACCTCGAAGGTGGAGCAAAGGTGCAGAAGCCTGAGATATGAAACATTTGTGGAAATGCAGGTATGATGTGGTCGGAGTGCAGGATGTGTTTTGGAGGGCACAAGGGCAGACACAGAAGCCTCGCTGTGGACCTTCCTGGATGCTTTTAAGGCTTTTGCTTGTTGAGGGCCCAGCATCCTGTGTACAAAACACAGTGGAAGACTGGACCAGTGGGTTTCAAAGGCTTCCCAGGAGCCCAAGGCTTTGCAGACGTGTCACAGGGATCCATACTCCTTTTGTGCCAGGACAGATCGGGGTTTTGTTTTTTGGGTTTTGTTTGTTTGTTTGTTTTACTGTTAACTCTTTAACGTTTTGGGGCTCTGTGTAAGTTCATTTGAAAAACTGATTCTGTTGCTAAAAACAGTTTGAAAACCAGGGAGCCCAGATGGTTTCTCTGAATGCTTACAGCAATCACTGGCTTTGATTTTGTCACTGTGGTGTCATCCTGAGATGGGATCTGATTTGTTCATATTTGTCTTTAAAAGAGGTGTGAATGAAAAATATTGCCAGCCATATCACTAAACAAAGATGCTAGGGCTATCAAGCCATCAGCCACTACCACCAACCCCGACTGGGAGCGGAGGGCACTCAGGATGGAGACAGGCAGGCAGCCTGGCCTCTGAGCCACCCCCAGTGGTGCCCCCGAGGGAACTCAGGGTGTGGAAGGACAGGACACTGGCCCTAGACAGCTAGGTGCACATTAAAGGAATGGTTTCAATGAGCTCAGACCTTTGCACCTTCCCAGATATAGAAAAGCACTAAATCCCCTAACTTAGGGTATCTGTTTTTTTAATTATTATTATTTAACAATAATCTTTTTATGTTCTGACTACCTGGTCTTTGCGGCAAAACTCTTCTATGTCCCGGCTCCTCCCCTGCCTCTTTGAAGCAACCTCTTAGAGAGATCTGAGAGGGCTCCCAGGTTCGAGTCCTCAGAAAGTCTGCCAAACAAAACAACTCTCAACTTTTAGGCTGTGCTTTTTCCCCCAGTTGACAGAGGATTGAGAATTTGCCCTCCAGCTTCATGTTGAAAGTTCATGAGGCTCCAGCAGAGGGTGGAGAACCCTTGCACCCATGGTTTACGTGGCAAAGAGACGTGTACAACTTGAAGCTGGAACAGAATGTGTGGGTGGAAAAGTGATAGTCCAAGCAATGACCATGGGGACACGAGGAAGGAGCAATTCTGTCATTCCCGCATTTATTCATTCAAAAAATGTTTTTAAGTAATAAACTTTATATTTTAGAGTAGTTTTAGGCTCAGAGCAAACTTGAGCAGAACGCCCAGAGTTCTCAGTACCCTCTTGTCCCCACACAGACCCAGCCTCCCCCACTGTCACCATCCTGCACTGGCAGGGGTACCTCTGTTTAATCCATGAGCCGAACTTGACACACACTAGCACCCAAAGCCCACTGCTCATTCCTTCCTCCCCGACCCTGGCAGCCACCGGCATCTTTGCTGTCTCTACACAGACACACCTCGTCTGATCGTGCTTGGCTTTATCACAAATATTGCATATTTTGCAGATTGAAGGTTTGTGGCAGCCCCGCCTGGAACAAGACGATCTGCGTCATTTTTCCAACAGCATTTGCTCACTTCCTGTCTCTGTGTCACATTTGGGTGATTCTCACAGTATTTTCAGCTTTCCCATGATTCCATCTGCATGGTGCTCTGGGATCAGTCATTTTTGATGTTACTGTTGTACTTGTTTGGGGCACAGCGGGTAGATGCTGTGTGTGTTCTGACTGCTCCACCCACCGGCTGTTCCCCCATCTCGCCCCTTTTCCTCCAGCTCCCTGCTCCCTGAGACAGTGCAACAGCGAAATTAGGCCAGCAAGTAACCCTACGATGGCCTCTAAGCGTGCAAGTGAAAGGAGGAGTCACACGTCTCTGACTTTAAATCAAAAGCTAAAAATGATTAAGCTTAGTGAGGAGGGCATGTTGAAAGACAAGAGAGGCTAAAAGTGAGGCCTCTTGTGCCAAATAGCCAAGTTGTGAATGCAAAGGGAAAGCTCTTGAAGGCAATTAAAAGTGCTACTCCAGGGGGGCGGTATAGCTGAAGTTGTAGAGCGTGTGCCTAGCATGCATGAGGTCCTAGGTTCGATCCCCAGTACCTCCTCCAAATAGAAATAAATAAATAAACCTAATTACCTCCCCTTCATAAAACAAACAAACAAACAAAAAGTGCTACTCCAGTGAGCACACAAGTGTTAAAGAAAGGGGATAAATTGGGAGCTGGAGGTTTGCAGATAGTAATGTATATAAAATAGATGAACAACATGATTGTGCTGTAGAGCACAGGGAACTATATTCAGTGTCCAGTAGTAACTTACAGTGAAAGAGAATGTGAAAATGAATGTGTGTATGTTCACGTATGACTGAAGCATTGTGCTGTACCCCAGAAATTCACACAACACTGTAAACTGACTATACGTCAATAAAATACATTTAAAAATTTTTTTAAAAACAAATGATAAAGCAAAACAGGCTTATTGCTGACATGGAGAAAGTTGGAGTGGTCTGGATAGAAGATCAAACGAGCCACAACATTTCCGTAACCCAAAGCCTCACCCAGAGCAAGGCTGGATTCTACTCTCTTCAATTTCGCGAAGGCTGAGAGAGGTGACGAAGCTGCGGAAGAAGCCAGAAGCAAGCAGAGGTTGCTTCACAAGGTTTAAGGAAAGATGCCATCTCCAGGACGTCAGCGTGCAAGGTGCAGCAGCCGGTGCTGATGTACGAGCCGCAGCAGGTTCTCTAGGAGCTCCAGCTCGGAGAATTCATGGAAGTGGCTTCACTAAATGACAGATTCTCAATGCAGACAGAACAGCGCTGTGTCGGAGATGCCATCTAGGACTTTCACAGCTAGAGAGGAGAAGTCAGGGCCTGGCTTCAGGGGACAGGCCGGCTTTCTTGTTAGGGGCTAATGCGGCTGGGCTTTAAGTTGAAGCCAGTGCTCATTTACCAGTCTGGAAATCCTAGGGCCTTTAAGAATTACGCCGACTACCCACAGGCAGGCCAGGTTCACAGGTTAAAAGCATCTGCCCTCACCTCAGACATCAGCTGCAAGCATGGGGATTTCAGGGCCACTTACAACTCTGACCAACTGTTTACAGATTTGGGGAGGCTCCCATTAGCCCCTCAGTCTTGATAATTTGCTAGAACAACTCCAAGAACTCAGGAAAGCAGCATGCTTATGTAATTATAAGTTTTATTATGACAAAAAGGATACCAGTCAGAACCAGGCAAAGGAGACCCATACAGTGAGGTATTGTATGGGGGAGGGGGGCTTCCAAATGTAAAACTTCATGTGTCCTCTCCCTGTAATGTCAAGACACATCACCCTCCCAGCACACTGATTCACCAAGCAGTGCCCACAGGGAAGCTCACCCGCGCCTCCGTGTCCAGAGCTTTTATTTGGGCTTCATGACCTTGGCATGACTGATCAAATCTGTCTCCAGTCCGCCTCCCCTCCTTGGATGTAGGGAGGGCATCACCTGGCCTCTAGCCACATGGTTGGTCCTCCTGGCATGGCCAGCCCCCAACCTGAGATATCGCACATGCATAAAGCACCAGGTGGGGTCTGAGAGCCCCTCCATGAATAACAAAGACACACCTCTTATTCAGAAAATCCCAAGGGCTTAGAGGCCACCTTCCAAGAACCAGGAAGAAAAGCCAGCCAAATTCCTAATTATACAACTGCACATACACCGTGTGCTTCATACAAAATATGTTCTAAACCTAAAAATACCGAAAAAAGAGTTTGTTAAATGAATTAATGAATAAGGGAAGGAAGGAATGGGGAAGGAAGGAAGGAAGGAAGGAAGGAAGGAAGGAAGGAAAGAAAGAAAGAAGGAAAGAAAGAAAGAAAGAAAGAAAGAAAGAAAGAAAGAAAGAAAGAAAGAAAGAAAGAAAGAAAGGAAGGAAGGAAGAAAGAAACTTTGCTTTGCTTTGGGGGGTCTAACTTATCACCCCTGCTCCCAAGGCATATAAACTAGGACTAAACTTGAAACAAATCCAGCGTCCACAAGAATCACAATGAGTGCTTTGGCTTTTACATATAATGAATGACTCAGTGATTTCTAAGTTGGTGACATTTCTCCTCTTAGAAGGAGAGACAGAATCGTACCCCCCTGGTGTTAGTATCTAAGCCCAGCACTTCAGCAAAACAATTAATTTGACTTTCCATAAATTTCCTAGCAGAAAGTATACTTACTCATTCTCCTCTCCCGGATCCTTCCCTAAGGGCAGGTAGACAGGCGGT